CTAATTTGGGTGTGGAGCTGCTCTGCCTTAATCATTACTTCTCCTGAGCTGATGGACTTTAAAGAAAGATGTATGAGTGGTGGCATGGAAGTCTGCAATACTCACAGCTTCTGCTGTGTTTTGCAAGAGCCATAAGTGTGCTGTGCTGCCATGTGGGCAAGGAGAGGCTGCAGCTTCCCACTCCTCTGCCTCACAGCCTCTCAGGACATCCATTCTCCCACCAGGCCATGCAGGGACTGTCCCACACCAGCTCTTCTGGCTCCCCACTTGTGTGCAGCACAGACTTGGCCTCCAGAAATGGATGTGGCTTCACCTGGCAGGAGCCCCCATGGCCACCTGCCCTGTTTGGTGGGAAGGAATCACTTCTGCAGGGCAAGAATTCCCTCTGTTCATCCAAGCTCTAGCTAGGTGGGTCACTGTCCAGAACACCAACAGGGGACTCAAAAGGAAGTAACAAAACTTCCAGAGGTTGTGAAAATAAAATTTCTTGTTCTTTTATGAACTCCTTTTCTTTCTATAATTTCTGCCACTTCCCTGGGTGGTGAGGCATGACCTAAAGGGCCACATACTGGATTTACAGGTAGCAGTCAGGCTCTGGTATTTTGGTTCTTTTAGGTCTTTTATAGAAGCAGAGAATCATTAAGGTTGGAAAAAACCTTCTAAGATCATTGAGTCTAACTCTTAATCCAGCACTGCCAGATTCACCTCTAAACCTTGACTCTAAGCACCACACCTACACATTTTGTGAACACTTCCAGGGACATTTCCACCACTTCTCTGGGCAGCCTATTCTATTACTTGATCACCATTTTGCTGAAAGAAAAAAATTTAATACCCAGTCTAAACATCCCCTGGTGAAATTTGAGGGCATTTCCTCTTGTTCTGTCACTCTGGGAGAGGAGCCTGACCCCCACCTGGTTACAGCCTTCTGTCAGGTAGTTACAGAGAGCAACAAGGCTCCCTTGTCTCCAGGCTGAGCACTGCCAGCTCCCTCAGACACTCCTGCTGTGACTCACTCTCCAGACTCTTCACCAGCTCTGCTGTCCTCCTCTGGACACGCTCCAGCCCCTCAGTGTCCTTCTGCAGTGAGGTGTACAGGAGCTGAGGTGCTGCCTCACAGTGTGAATTGTGCTGTGTTACACATGGAACACACACACGTGATAGATTTTGATGTGTTTGTTTCTCTGACTGGTCTTTCAGAGAAAAGGGATGGCCACCCACTGCAGGAGCCTCAGGAGTCCAAATGAGGAGCATATCTGCACCCTGGGGCTCCTGTGTCCAACTCTGATGGGAGCATGGCACAGGATGTGCAGGAGCTGACTCCAGGACACCTGTCCTGCAGGTCAAACAAGGGGCAGCCAGCCCTCCAGCAGAGATCATCTCCTTGTGAGCAAGAAGAAGTGAACTGAGCTTACAGGCAGGACCTGGGCCCCAGGGGTGCCTGTTCCCAAGACAGAAGCACACTTGGCACCTCTTGGCTCCTGCTAAACCATATTACTGTCCAGGGAGGCAACACAGTAGCTCCCAGAGGGGTTGGGCTGCTTTGTCATGGGGTGCTTGCTTGTTTGAATAGAGAAGAGATTGCTCCTTGGACACATCCCTGGCAGCAGAGCTGACACCCCAGAGGGAAGGGCACTGGCTTTCCTTTCAGTGGGACATCAAAACCTTACCAAGGGTTTGGGGGTGCCTTGTGGCTCTGCAAATGGGAGCCATGCCTTGAAATGCCTCCAAGGGAAACTGCTGTGAAATGTGTGCAGGCAGAAGGTAATGGCCCAGATTAGACTTTGGCTAAGGCACAGGACTTGACCCTTGGGGAGGGAGTGTGGCACAGAGCTTTGATAGCCACGCGTGGCAGCTGCTCCTGAGGCTGCACAGCTCCTCAGAGCAGGGCTCACACCCCAGGACAGGGCCCAGCACCTCAGAGCAGGGATCACACCTCAGAGCAGGGATCACACCCCAGAGCAGGGCTCACACCTCAGAGCAGGGCTCACACCCCAGAGCAGGGCTCACACCTCAGAGCAGGGCTCAGCACCTCAGAGCAGGGCTCACACCTCAGAGCAGGGCTCACACCCCAGAGCAGGGCTCACACCCCAGAGCAGGGTTCAGCACCTCAGAGCAGGGATCACACCTCAGAGCAGGGCTCACACCTCAGAGCAGGGCTCACACCCCAGAGCAGGGATCACACCCCAGAGCAGGGTTCAGCACCTCAGAGCAGGGATCACACCTCAGAGCAGGGCTCACACCTCAGAGCAGGGCTCACACCGCAGAGCAGGGATCACACCCCAGAGCAGGGATCACACTCCAGAGCAGGGATCACACTCCAGAGCAGGGTTCAGCACCTCAGAGCAGGGCTCAGCACCTCAGAGCAGGGCTCACACCCCAGAGCAGGGCTCACACCCCAGAGCACGGATCACACTCCAGAGCAGGGTTCAGAACCTCAGAGCAGGGCCCAGCACCCCAGAGCAGGGCTCAGCACCTCAGAGCAGGGATCACACCTCAGAGCAGGGCTCACACCTCAGAGCAGGGATCACACCTCAGAGCAGAGTTCACACCTCAGAGCAGGGATCACCCCTCAGAGCAGGGATCACACCTCAGAGCAGGGATCACACCCCAGAGCAGGGCCCAGCACCTCAGAGCAGGGCTCACACCCCAGAGCAGGGATCACCCCTCAGAGCAGGGCTCACACCCCAGAGCAGGGTTCATACCTCAGAGCAGGGATCACACCTCAGAGCAGGGCTCACACCTCAGAGCAGGGTTCATACCCCAGAGCAGGGATTACACCTCAGAGCAGGGATCACACCCCAGAGCAGGGCTCACACCCCAGAGCAGGGCTCATGGACACTCAACAGCCACCACTGGGAGCTCTGGACAAAGCTTTATAGGAGCTGTGCCCATCATCCTCTCCTTCTGCAAAAGGGTAATTCCAGCAGCTCTTACCAACCTGAAAAATGAATTCTTCCCTCTTCCTTTTTTTCTAGGCTTTTTCTCCTTTTGCATTTTTCTCTTCTCTCATCTGACACTTTTCAGTATTCATTTTCTTCTTTATCATCTCCTTTTGCTGTATCATTTTTCACCTCTTTCACAGTTTTCAACTCTTTTCAACTCTTTCACAGTTTCCTCACTTGTCACTCTACTTCTTTTCTCAAAAGCATGGTATTTTTTTTAAAAAATGTTTACTTGTCTTGTCCAAATCCTCTCCATCATGCTTTCCCTGAGTTCGCTCATTGCCTTTTATTTTCCCTTGCAGCTGCTTAGCTGCTTTTGCCTTTTGATTAAACATCCAGGATGTTTCTCATCCTCCTCAAGCTTCTGTGTACAAGGTCTGTGGCCACAGGTCTACTCCTGAATGGGGTCTGCATTCCAACATTGCTTTCATCCTCAGAAGATCCCAAGCCCCAGCTTCCATTTGGTCACGGGAGATTGACCACAGGTCAATTTTTATGCTATGGAAGCCTATGCAATTATAAAGGCAGCTAAAGACCAATCATACTGTAATACTGAATTTAGAAATGTTCATAAGTAGTTGTGATCCTGAGCAAGAAGAAAATTGCTGCAACATGTTTCAGTTAGTTATAAATTGCTTTTGGTACGTTTTGGTCAATAAATACAAAAGAAAAAGGTGTCTTCACTGGGTTTTTTTGCCATGGTAGTAACATTTCTGACAATTCGATTTCCCTCCAGTAATTTGTTCCTATTTCTGGGAAAATCTATCTCATTAATATTTGTAGGAACAAGCTTATCCATATTTTTTCAGTACTGCTGCTGGGTAACCTTAAGTAATTCTCATTGGTGTGGCTTCATAGAAAGAAATACTAATTCTGTTATTTATAGTTGCAATGAGTAAACTAATTAACACTTAGCAGTGCTTCTGGACATACCTACCTTCTTGCCTTTCAACATTTTGGCCACTACTCAGTTTTCTTCATGTTATCACTGTCTTCACACTAGCTGAAGCACCCAGAACCATAACTAATTTGACAGAGGGAGATGTCTAGTGCTACATGAGGAAGGGCTATCCATGCCATTGCCTGTGATGTGATATCTCCAGTTGTGCATCTCCAAGTGACATTGGCTCTGCTTCCACTGTATCACATTGACAGTTCACACCCTGCTTGTTGTTCAACTGATACCATAGGAAAGCCTTTTTCCACCTGGTTGGTAGGCTGCTTTTCAAGTTTCTCTGTCTGACTGGATGTCTGCACTGGGGTTAGTTCTGATTACAGACAGGACTTGCACTGAAGGGATCTCACTTGAATAACTCTGCTGCACCCTTAAAATATTGACATTAACTATTAGCCTCTAAGTCAAGGTGAACTACAGCTCTGTTCATCTCCCAGTTCTTCAGGCCAAGCTTCAGGACGTGGTGGGCCATACTGGTGACCTGACACAACCCATAGCTTAGTTTTAATGGCCCTATAAACCATTTTTTCCAATACAAATATGAAACTGCACTAACATATGGGCTCAGGTACTGTCCTCCACACATGCTCAGGGGCAGCTGAGAAAGATCTCAGGTTCTTTCCCAGGAGACTTCCCAAATGCTCATGAACTTGATGCAAGCATCTGGAGGGTTTTCACTCACAGAAATCCAGGACTATGTGTCTGCTTGAAAGCTTCAAACCACATTTATTGTAAATTCATGGGAAAAAAAAAAAGAAGAAACCACAGGCTGGTAAACTATTACATCTCAGTGTAAAGAACTTGTCCAGTTATGTGCAATCAGATATTGACAAGAATATCTAAATAAGCAACAACTTCTCAATATAAATCTCATTAAATAAAAAAGAAAATTATTTCCATATTTACAGATTACAATGGAAATGGATCCTTAAAGCATTATTTTGTATTTAGCAGGTTTATTTCTTTGAAATAAAAGAGAAATGGCTTGAATCTAAGAGTGTACTTTGGAAGCAGCTTTCTAGACAGTCTATGTTATCACCAGTGAAAGGACAAGCAGCCTCCCCTCGATCACTGTTCTGCTTGTTCTGCCATCCAGGATTTCACCGAAGGGCTTCTGGTACCTCCACCTACAAAACAGGGAAGGGAAGGGCATTCATTACATTTGCTGTGCAGTCTAGATGGCAAAACACCTGAAATTCCTGCAGACATACACTGCCAAGAGCTCTGTGCTACACATTAGCTCCCATGACAAGACAGAGCTTGGGAGAGTACCCCAATTTCTGTCAAAATCACAGTCAGACAGAAATCACTGTGCTGAGAAAAGCCTAATCAGAGGAAAGCCTCCTCCCAAGTGCTTTATTATGATCACATTGCTAAGATTTTTTTTTTTAACTAACTGGGTGTACTAAAATTACTGAGCTTGTGCTATATTTGGACCACAATCAGTTACTGACCTAGGATCTCTTACTTACCCGCCTTAATTGCTTTATGCTGCTTGCCCGAATTGCTTCCATAAGGTTGTCATGGAGAGACCTTTGTGGGGTGGATGGCCGGGTGGAGGGTCGTGAGCCTTCCTCTGATTTTCTGTCTGAGATTGATTTTAAAGAATCTTTAATTTCTTTCAATATGTTGTTCTCATGTTTTCTGGTTTTTTTGCCTTTTTTCTTTTTCTGTCCATTATGCAAGGCTTTTTTTGAGCTTTCTTGCTGTTTGATGACTTCAGCTATATTCCTGGTAGGTGCCTTCTTCTCTGGAAGAAGCGGAGGAGGGGGAGGAGGAGGGGGAGGCGGGGGAGAGGGGGGAAGGGGAGGGGGGGGTGCAGGTGCTGAAGGCTGACATTTCACTGGCAGTGCTTTCTTAGGGAGCTTTGGGGAAGACCACGGTGAGCTTTTAGGGGACACATAAGGTGAGGACCGAGGTGTCCCCTTCTGCAGAACTTTGGTCTTTGGATTGATAGCTCCGTCACAACCTGACTCCTGCTGCCGCTGCTCCTGCATACGCTTTTGCCTTTGTTTATCCATATTTCTTGTCAGGATACTTGTCATGCTCATTCTTGGGCCAGCAAGGTCAAAGTGGTAGCCCAGCTTTACCAGAGTGGTGTTCTCTTTCAGCAGTTTGACTATGTCCATTTCCACCTGGCTGCCCATGATGTGCCTTTGATTGTGGAAGCGCAGTTCTGTTAGAACTTTGTTGTGCTGCAAAGCTCTCATGATGGCCAGCACGCCTTTGCCTGTGATAAAATTTGACTCAATATTCAGACTAGTTATATGCTGATTAACCTTTAACATACCAGCAATAGCTATTGCCACGTTGTCATCAGCATGGGTGTTAGCCAAGCTGAATGACTTAACCATTGTGTTGTCCCTCAGGGCTTGAGAAAATTGTATAAGCATCTGTGAAGTGATGTTTTCAATGTTGTTCAGATTGACCTCTGTGGTGTCAGGGTCGTTGCTCCTAACTTTTTCCAAAGCATCTTCAATAACTGTTGGATTTCCACAAGGGTGGATGGCACTGCTTTTTGAGCTCCGATTGTCACTGTCTTTTCCATCATGGCCATTGAGGAAGCTTTCATTGTCCTTTGCACCATTACACTTTTTGTGTCTGACATGGTCAGAATGCCTGCCAGCTGCAGCATTTTGCTCTTCCTCATTCTCATCATCACTCTCATCTTCATTTTCCTCTTCATCTTCTTCTTCATCATCCTCTTCAGTATACGCCTCCTCAGACACTTCACTATTGCTTTCTGTGAAACATTCTTCTTGAAGTTCTTCCGAATTGTCCTCTTCTTGCTCAGAATCCTGAACAGGAACGTAGGTGTGGGTGTTAAACATGATTGAAGTAATGGAACTGCTGCCTTTTAGCACAGGAACAATTATACTGTCACTATATAAATTAACATTGAAAGCTAAAAACAAACAGATGCAGTTAGGAGAACAGAAAAATGATTCATCTAACACCTATACAACATTATTTCTTTTACATTCTTTAGAAAATGCTTAGCATAAATTGCAAACACTCTACCAATGTCAGTGATTTCTGCCAAGAGACAACTTGATACAAGGTATTATGACACGGACATACTTCAGGTTTTCTATGTGTTGGCATGTCTACAAGGGGATATAATTTGGACACTTGACAGCAGAAACATAAGACAACAATTTCAGAATGAACATGAGCAGCAAGCTTCTTCATTTCATGAGGATTAGACATCTCAGACTCCCTTGCATATGTTAGTATGTCTAAAAAATTAAAGGTTGCCATGTTTTAAAATACAAATAGTGTCTGCATGTGTAGTCTTGTATACCAGCATGCAAAACAGTACTGAATTACAGAAGTCATGTCAAAAATACTTTGGATGTATTGCATGGGCTGCACATACTAATAAACTATTTGTGAAGAAAGGTTTGAGGTGCATTCCCACAGGTAAGATGCAACCACATGTCAATAACCCCTGAATTTCTTTGTGTTTGTCAGGAGCTAAGCTGGTGCTCACCATCAGCTGTCACAGGTCAGCCACCACACTGAAAATTGTTATAACTCATTGTCTACAGAGCAAATGCATTGTTTTTCTGAAACACGAGGTTCTTTTAGTGTGTTTGGTGGGTACCAGGAAGGCAAATTTGGAAGCATGCCTCAAAGGTCTGCTTGCTGCCTTTAGCAATTATGGTGCCTAAAGAGAACTCTATGCAGAGGAGCAGGAAAAGGTCTCTACCCCAGGAAAGACTCACTCTTCCCATGGAGGACTCCAGCAGTGTGATGGGGATCTATGGGGTGTTACAGAACCCAGAATCTACAACCAGCCTTAAACCTCTTGCTCAAAAGATCTTCCATGTCATGTTTTGCCTACTGGAAAAACTATAGGTACACATTTTTCTTTACAATTGTAAATATAAAACTTTGGATGAATTATAATTGTTCTGTAAGCACTACTTTAGCAATACTTGTGTTTTAATCTCTGTAAAATACTAGATTGTATTTTGCAAAGTGAGTACACTGTGCAGAGACACAGTGATTCTGTTTCTGGAAAACAAAAGTGTTACTAGCAGGGCAGCCTATTTTTAGACAACCTGTGCAGTTTTAGGTTTGCTTAGTTATCTGTCTCTGAAAATAGAGACCTGTTAAAATGCAGGGTACTGTTTCACAATTTTCAGTAGGATTCTGTGCTGGGACATATGCAAAAAAGATGCTAATTGTAATGTTTGCAGAACTGTGACTCTTAATGAAACAGGACATTGAGTTGTTTCTGCCTGATGTTCCTGAGCATTCAGTACTTGGGATCTTGCAGGGTCTGCTTGCATTGGCCTGCACACAGAGTTCTTGTAGGACCCAGCCCTATTGCTTCTCCTGTAGAACATGTGCAGCAAGGCCCTTATGCTGAGAGATACTGTGCTACCTATAGGCTTATTATGGGATTAAGATTTGTATCTGTATCTTCTATATATGTGTAGAGCTTTAAGACTTGAAAACAGCAGGTATCCAAAACCCTATCTTCATGGCTTTGGTTTTATATCTTAAGGAATATATACTACAGATGAGCAGAAGGAGGTGCCTTTAAATTTACTATTGATATGTTTAGTGATGTTAAATTAATAAAAACCTACTTGATTTTTTTTTTTTGAGTGACATTTCTGAGGTCAAAGGCAGAATTCAGTTGCTTGTCAGGTACATTTTCTGGTGTCATATGGAGAGACATATTCTTACTGTAGCAGCACTGTGGCACAGGACTGCTGCAGGCAACCTGTAGGGCTTCATTTTACTTTTTGGGAGTAATATAATGAAAAGTTAGGACTAAGAGAGTCAATGCTGAGGTAAATATCTTGGGAGGACAAGTCATTCACCCTAAAAGGCTATCTGCAAATTGTTTGCCTTTTGGACCAGCTGATCTGTCACCACTAACTATAGAAGGAGCATGAATAACCATCTTAGATAAAGGTGCATAATTTCCAGACAGTTGAAAGCAAGAAAATTGTTTTCAAGGACCTTTCTCATTGCCATCAGTGGAGAGAGTCTTTGCAACCTCTATATCAGCATATCAACCTTTTATTATTTAAGGATGCATTCTGGAAGTTTTTTCTCAGATCAAAAAGTATAGAATCTTTTGCCGGGACTTGGAGGTATAGCCAGTACCCATCATTAATGCTGCATATACATGGAAAAAGAAAAAAAAAAAAAGATCCTGCCATTGCATAAGATACAGAGCTAGACCTGTTCAGCAGGTTTTTTAGAAGTGCCCAGGTTTTGAGTTCCAGGCTAAGCTGGAAATAAACATTAATCTTGCCATTTACTCTCTAGGACTGACAAACAGGGAGTGAAGTCGATGTCTGCAAACTGATACTAATGGTCTGCTGACAGCTACTGGTCTCTGCTCTTGCCTGCAAAGACCTTATACCTCCATTCACAAACAAGAGAAAATACTTACATGTAAAAACATCCTGGATATTGCAGAGTAATTTAATACATCTGACTTTCCTCTAGGAAGATATTTTATCTAATGTATAAACTGCAATTATTTCCTTGCAAATGAAATAAGCTCCTGCATCAAGGCTGTTAGAGGTTCTGAGTTCAGTTTTGCTGTCTTTGCCTTTATTGTATTACTTTCTGCTTAAACATGGGAAAATGTGTCCCTGTAAACACAGTAAAAGCTTGGTAGGAAGCAGTGCTTAAAAATCCCCAAGTCCCCACTTTGCTTTGAAATTACATGGAGCTATCATGAAAATAGAAGTTGCTTTTTGGTTGGGCTCAGTCTCACATACACTTTTAGCAAGGATCAGGAGTGCCAACATGGACATCAGCTGAGACTGAGAGTGCTCACTGCTTGCCAAGACTAAGCCCTTCACTCCTGCCCAGCTGTACTCCTCAGTTGCAGTTCAGGAAATGGCTTTTATTACTAACATTTTTATTTTGGGGAATGAGTTGCCTAACAAACACTACTGGTTGTTTTTTTTGGGAATGCAGTTAAATGGTTTGACTGATGACTCTATCCCAGGCCACTTTTTAGATAATGTACAGCTGCCCTCTGACTACAGTTGCCAGAAGACTCCTGACCCATGCCAAGGATCCTCAGCAGGAACAAAGCAACACAAGCTGCTGACTGCAACACAAGCTGCTTTCTTCCAGCGAGCACAAAGCCTAGCATCCGCTTACTCAGCTTCTGACATAACATGTATTCAAAATTATCTTCCTTACATGTTTCTCAGCAGTCAATACTGGTTGTTTTTAAGGAAAGGAAAAGGCATTATGTGTAGCTTTCTTAAAAAATCAAATACTATCCAAAAGCCCGCATCTTTAGCTATTAATAATTTCTAACATGCCCTTTAATTTTTGTTCCTGTTTTAATCACTAACAATAGTTTTTATGGCACTTTCTTCTATTCTGAACTGAGCACTTAAGGTACCTGCAGAGAGAGCAAACACTCTGATCTAATACTCAGTGCTTTAGCAGGCACAGAGGTATGGCTAACAATGTTCTTAAAAATGCCACAAGAGACTGAAAAGAAATTAAATCAGTCAGTGAGATCATGCCAATGCAGAATAAAACCAAATATTTATAGGAAAGAGCAAATGCCTCAGCATCTTACCTTCTCGCATGCACCCAACCTCTCTTTTTCCAGGAGTTTCTTGGTCTCCCTCTCCCAGTAGGCCATCAGTGCTTCCCTGCTGAAAGTCCCTGTTGGGGTTTTCTCTGTCAGGCTCTTCTGCCGCTGTCCCACTGGAAGGTTACGGTCGGGCTCTATGTCCTCCAGCTCCCGCTCCAGCTCCTTCAGCTCCTCTTCAGTGAGAGAAGCGAGGAGCTCATCTTCATCAATGTCTTCATATTTACTGAGCTCTCTTCTGTACCCAAAGGTAGACATGGTCCTGCTTGGTCAGGCTGGTACAAAGCTACAGTGACCAGGCATTCAAGAAGGCTGAAGCAAGCAAGCTGTGTCTGGTGTGGTCAGCAACTGTTTCCCTGCATAGCCAGAGGCACCCTTTTAAGAGTAATCATCGGGGGCTTACGACAATGCATGAAGGGATGAAAGCATGCTCCGTTTTAAGCATCAGACGTCAGCTAGACATCTGAACAGCAAGAATGTCCCAACACTAATGTTTGCAAGTCCCTTAAAGAGGGGGATTATTGACACACTGGCCATGGCCATATTTAGAGCAGGCAGCTAGTGGGAGAATACCAGCCTCGCAGACGGGGGGGCGGCACCAAATAAAACCCCGGGCGCACTGACACTGGCATCGTGTCCACATTGCGGTGGGGAAAGAACAATGAAAATCCATTTAATCCTGAGCTGTCACAGGGGCTGGAAATAAAACACCCTTGCTGTTGTTCAGTGAACTTCCTCTCACAGTTTTCTCGTGGAATGCTGTTATCCCAGCAAGGTGTTTGCAGGTGGTTGGGATCTGTGCAAAGGCAGCCAAGGGGAGGAGGTCGGCGTGCCAGCAGCCGTGGGGATCACTGCTCCCACAGTGGTACACATTGTCTGTAACAAATCACACAACTGAATTTTTTATTAATTCCCTTATTTCTTCTAGGACTATCAGAGTGAGAATCAGCTGTTCATGTCCATTTGGAGCACCTGTGAGATTTTTGTTCATGTGGAGAATTGTGCTCTGCTGGGGGAATGGACAGAGTCACCCGGAGATTTAAGGGTAACAAGCCCTGGGTGGGCAGGGGGGCTGTGCCTTCATCACTTCTGACGGGACGAGCGACTGAAGGCCTCTAGTGGCTGTTCTGTTAATGGCTGTTGCTCCTGGAGAGAGCCCTTCAAGTCTTTATTCTAAATGTATAGCTACATTATAGTTTCTGATAATACATTTTATACTATTCTGACATTATTTTTGTTGACAGGCATCTTTCAGTAAGAAGAATTACAAAAAGAAAGATTAAACTTTGTGCGGTTTATTGTTTGTTTTTCTGATGTGGTCGTTTTATGTCTTTTTCCTTTTTTCTATTTAGCAGTGAATGATGGTGAGCTAGCAGCATTTTCTGAAACACGCCGACTAGCAATACCTGCCAACCTCTGTTGTGAGAGAGGGGGAGGGAGAGGAAGAGAGAAGGTTTTGGTACATGGAAGTAGGAACACATCTATAACAACATATATCAGCCTTCTTAAATGATGACACACAGTGTGTTTTAGACAGTCAAGCCTATATTTAATGGAAATGTAAGTAAACATAATTTGAAGTATTGTTATTTTCTGACATCATCCCTTTGGTCAGTATGGATTGGACACCTGCACTGAGGTATGTTGTTTAGCCAAATTGCTCATTTAATTTCATTATTATGCATACAGCTTTACTGACAGTACAAAGAGGAGAATATCAGATCTTTATGAAAATCATACTCAAAGAAATCATATTTTTCCTTTGATAATTCATCTATATGAACTTCATGCAGTTATCTTGATCAAGAAATGGTATGAAAGCTTATAACCTTAGTCTTTCCTAACCTACAAAATACATTAATAAAGCACACATTAGAATATCATGCAGTTTAATATAAAATAAATATTTGCAGGTCATTTACATTGACAGAATCTTTGGATAAAACAAAAAGGAGGCAGATGCTTGGCTTATGTAGCTAAGAGTGTTACCTTCATCCTTTTATCTTCCTGGTATAAGGTCCCATGATGGGCCAAGTGCACACAGACAGGTCAGTGGGTCCACAGAAATTCTGTTCACTCTTTCACCTGCAGAATGAAGCCTGGGCCAAATTCTGAAAAATGTCAAAGACTAGAAAAATATAATAAGTTCCTTTTTTCTTTTAATTTGGCATTTTCAATGCTTTCTGATAGAGCTGACACAGGCATTAATTATCTGTATATAGCTGCACTCCAAGCAATTTTATTTATTTAATATGTCTAGGACAATGGTTCACATTGTTATCATTGGAGTTAGCCAGAGAAGCAGTAAAATGAAGTTATATTTCTTGAGTGCATTTTTGCTGACAACATTTTGTTACATATTTTGATGGAGTTAGGAAATGTGAACTGGATATATTTTCTGTTGGAAAATCTGATTGAAACTGAAATGCTTTTAGAAATATGCTATATTTTATTAGTACAATGTTGATATGTACAACACTGATATGTACAATATTAAAAGCAAAAATATGCTGTTAAAAATTAAATCTATTCAAATATATTGTTTCCAGAAAAAAATATCAGCTTCCTGCTGTTCCTTTTTTGTTAGGTACAACAGAATTTCTAAGTCTTTCAATTTTCCTGAGCTGAGAGTCCATTATACAAAGTACAAACATACAGATACCTGAATTGTCTATTTGAAGTTTTCTATGTATAAACAAAATTTTCCAAAATCAAAGAAACTTTTAAAAAGCAGCATGTATAATTCACTTCTAAAATAAAATTCCAAAGGAATATTAATTAACATGAGTATTACCTTCAATGCTACTCCTTACTGAGACATGATACAAGACTGGGCCAGTGGTTTTTTCTACACAAAATGCCAATGATGTCCATTCTAGCCATGAGATAATTTAAAGACCTTACTAAAGATGGACAAGGTACTTTCTTGTACATTTCTTCCCTGAAGCAGGGAGAAAACTGGCAGTCAGGTGAGGTTATGAAAGGTTTGTGTCCCTTCTTGATCCTATATGGCACTTGTGGTATTTTATGACCTATTCTTTACAGGGAAATGGCCAAAGGTGAAGAGCCACAAACACTCTCCAGGAAAATTTTAATAAAAACAATAAGGCTGTAGCACATGGAAAATAACACACAGACTAAAAATAATATGCTAAAACTGTAAAGACAAGTACTCACAGGTCAGAAAATGTAGGAATAGTATTTATTGTTGCCTACTGATGAGCACTGAAACACAGTCCTTAATTCCATAGTTCTCTAATCATATACTTTGATCCTAGACACGAGTGTCAGAACCTTTACTCAGAACCTTTACTCTTTTTCATTGCATGAGAAAGATCACACACATTTAATAGCCTTACAGTGTTTTATTTTGCCCGTTCTTCAGCATAGTAAAGCTATCAATGATTTTAATTGTCAGTGGCCTTTTCAGAGGACATGAAGGTGTTACCAGTTTTTTAAGGAAGAAGAAAGAGGTACAGAAACCTTAAGACTCAAAGTACCCACTAATATGGAATTTGGGATTCCCTTTCTGGCAGTATTTGGCATAATGCATTTCAGCTGATCAGGGTTGAGTTCCTGTGGGCATCAGCCATGGCTGAAACTTTCCACCCTTACAACATTTCAGATCACAGGTTCCAACTTCCAAGAGGAACTCAGAACAAAGACAGGAGTCATTGTGTTTTCCTGTTATTAGCATTCTTACCTGAAACATTTTGTTCCTGTTTCATAGTCTCCTTTCTCAGGTACTATAAATGTTCTGATTTCTAAAAAAACCAAGCAAAAGACCCAGAGGTCTGAGCAAACTGTTCTATCTCCCCAGCTGTGTTCTCAATCACACCATTAGAAACAGTTTAGGAAGAGTCCATTGTGTGCTAGTGAGGTGGCACAGGGAACTTCCTTCCATCACAGGAGGCAGTGAGTAGAGCATGAACAATATGTAGTACAGAAAGGCAAATTTATAGCAGCTACATTGGCTGCTGTTTAGGGTGAATCCTACAATTAGACATTAGGAAAAATCTCTTCATGAAAGGGGTTGTCAATATTGGAACAGGTGTCCACAGCTGAGTCACCATCCCTGCATGTATTGAAAATACATGTAGATGTGGCACTTAGGAGCACAGTTTAGTTGTGGTCTTAGCAGTGTTAGGCTAACATTTGAACTTGATGACCTAAAAGATCTTTGTGATGATTTGATGAAGTGCTTTGCCAACTCCTAACAGAAAACCCAAACTCACCTTCCTAATGCCCTGCTGAAATCCTCTATGCAGGGAATTCACCATTTCACCAATAGGTCATGAAAACTCATCTCTCATTTGACAGAATTATTAAGTGTTTTTTCACTTCAGAACCTGAGCTGAGAGAAAAGGAGAACTGGAAGCACCCATTTTATAGGAGGAGGATTCACTCTATCATTGTAGACCTTGGCACCCAGGGTTCCTGGCTTTCAGCAGCTAAATTTCAGATAAGATTTTCCATCTTTCCTAACCTGGAGGAAAGATCATTTATTGTCTTGGTTTTACAAGAGGAAACCCTTCGAAGTGTCCATTTTTCCCTTCAAAGCAATTAATTTTTTCAATCAGCAGCCAAGGGAATTCTGTTCCATCTCTTGCATTTCCACACTTGGGGCACATTGGCTCAATTGCTTAAAGGCCACAAGCAACATGTGGCAGGTGGTGCCCACCCCACAGCAGGACAAAGCCCACAGATAAATGCATATTTCCACTCAGATGAGTGCAGGGAAAACTACAGGCAGGCAAGGAGAGGGCTGTACAACCTTGTCCTCAGGCACAGGACAGTGGCTATTTCAGTCCGGGCTCGGGAGGACAGCCTGTCAGACAGATGCGTTGGCTCATACTGAGCTCAGTCCCACACTGCAGGAACTGCTCCAATTGCCATAGAGCACATCAAAAACAATGCATCACAGTACGCTGGGCTTTCCCCATGCCTCCTGCTGCCCATCTGCTGTGCTGCTTGCTCCTGCAGGCCTCCCACCACCACTTTTGCAACCCTCAGTCCTGAACCAACCCCTTCCCTTGTGCTATCCACTCAAGGCACCAGCCCCTGAGCTCTCTCTTCATGCCTTATTGCTGCTGTGATGCCTTCTCCATCCTGGTCCTGCAGGCCCCCCACTCCTGCTTTCCCAGCAAACCCCTCACTGTTCTCAGCCACCTCCACACCCTGTTTGCTGACCTCTCCTTCCTACTCCTCCTTGCACGTCTCCTCTGCCCTCTCCTCCTCCTGCCCTCGTGTTCCTCACT